TTGTTTGTTTATTCTGGGGATTAAACTCAGGGGCACTCAACCACTGAGCCACGTCCCCAGAGAGAGAGTCTTACTGATTGCTTAACCCCTCACCACTGCTAAGGCTGGCTTCGAACTCTCTATCCTCCTGTCGCTGGAATTACAGGTATGTGCCATAGCACCTGGCCTTAAAGGGCACTCCTGATGATGCTTATATTTCATACTTGGAACTAAACTCACTCACTATTGCTTAAATTCTTTAAGTGCCTTTCCTGAGTTGTCCAGGATCTTTGGTGGTTCATGGGCTCCAGTCTAAGTTCAATTCCTGTTATCTAATTTGCATGGACTCTGGATCTCTTGCTAATATGCCACAGATTGGTGGGATTTTACATAAATCTTGGGAACCAATCACAGACTATTATACAATGGTTTCTTGGAATCTTAAAGAGAAAGTGATTACTATGAGTCAATTTGGGTTTATGAAGAATCACAGTAGTATCATTTTCTTCTTTGAAAAGGTAATTAGATGAGGAAAATTCAATGGTAGGTATTAACTCTATGTGCTAGCAAGTCAACCTAAAGGTGACTTATAATTTTGGGTAAAACATTAAACTATAAATTAGATTCACTTACAGGATTAGAAACTGGTTAAGACAACCACAAGGTACTCATGAGATTCTGAATAATGGATCTAAGTTGATACGAAGGGGGAGGTTCAGATATTGCAGTGGTTCTAAAACTTTATTGTGCTTCAGAAGTCTCATGGAGGCCTATTCAAAMAAATTGCTGAGATTTATTCCCAGGATTCTCAATTCAGCAAGTGGGGCTGAAGAATTTGTATTTCTAGTAAGTTCCCAGGCAATGCTACTGCTATTCATCTGGGGACCATGTTTTGAGAACCTATGATATACAGTATCTCAGAATATTAATAACAGGTTTTACCCAACATTCTGGAAATGACCTTGTTAAATATGCAGACTGCATGATTAAAATCTATAGATAATATTAAACCTGTGATGTAAAAAGATCTCAATAGGCTAGTTATAGAATAAATCTTAAAAATAAAAATTATGGAATAATCTTAAAATACTAAAATAAAAATCATACATACAAGTATAAGATTAGAAAAACAAAGCTTAGAGGGCTAAAGCTCAGTGGTAAAGCACTTGCCTAGTACACATGGGAGGCCCTGAGTTCAATCTCCATTCCTATAAGTAAAACAAAACCTCCAGAGCTTAGCAATCACAAAAAAAGAAAAAGATGTACAGATTTTAGTGCACTGTAGCATCAATGATTTAAGTATACTCTGGCCATTAAAAAAAGTCATAATAGTTTGGGCTTCATTACTAAAGTACAGATTATAGAATAATGTATTTGATAGGCCACCTACATATTATGCTGGTTCCCCTAAACCTGGGGGGTTAGACACTGACATCAAACAGAAACAGAGTCAAGCCAGTTGTTCAAAAAAGAGCACAGGATCTAAAATTATATGTGAGAATAGGAAGAACTGTTAGTGTCTGGTCTTCAAAAGTTTAGAGGGATATAAGAGCTGTTTTAATATATAATTAGCTTATAGATAAGGATTTGTTGTTTTCTGTATGACTTTAAGCAGACTGCCACATACAGTTGTCAGGATACTTCCTACACACAGGTACCCAGAGAAGGAGAAAGGGAGGGAGAAGAGAAATTCAGTTTATAGTTCATTCGAAGAGTCACATGACTTGATAGGGATTGAGACCAGCTAGAAAAAGGCTAGACTTTCTCTAATTCATTTAAAGGAGAAAACTTTTGCCTTTTGGTGAGAATACCTTCCTAATTTGCATAAAGGCACAATATGAACTAATGATAACACTAGCCTAAAGGTAGAACTAGGTCTATCAAGAGAAGTTTAGAGAAAAAGTGCTTTCAGCTCAATGTAATATAATAATAGAGCAAGATATCATATAGAAAAACAGTTTCTGATGAGTAGCTAATCTCCCACACTGGATGTTCAAGGAATATCTGGACAACTATACCGTAAGGTTATTTTAGAGAGGATTTCAAGGTGGAAGAGTATGTGAGTTTGTGTGTTATGAGGTTGGCAGTGAAACTCAACAATCTTTTTAGCTTTGGGGATTCTTCTTCTAAACTACCTATCTTTTACTCCATATCCAAGTTGATTCCATAATAATCAGACCCCTTCTTTTCACAAATTTACCATGTACTCTAGCCTTCTTCCTATCTAGCCAAATTCCTCTTCCTATCTTCTCCTTTCCCTGACCCATACATACTAAAGCATACATACTAATTAGTACTGAAAATATACTTTGTATACAAACTGCTTTCTAAAATGCTCACTATCTCTAGCAATCAGAGAAATGCAAATTAAAACTATTCTAAGATACCATCTCACTCCAGTAAGAATGGCAGCCAATATGAAGTCAAACAACAACAAGTGCTGGCGAGGATGCAGGGAAAAAGGTACACTCATACATTGCTGGTGGGACTGCAAATTGGTGCAGCCAACTTGGAAAGCAGTATGGAGATTTCTTGGAAAACTGGGAATGGAACCACCATTTGACCCAGCTATTTCTCTTCTCGGACTATACCCAAAAGACCTAAAAACAGCATACTACAGGGACACAGCCACATAATTGTTTATAACAGCACAATTCACAATAACTAGTCTGTGGAGCCAACCTAGATACCCTTCAATGGATGAATGGATAAAAAAATGTGGCATTTATACACAATGGAATATTACTCAGCACTAAAAAATAACAAGATCATGGCATTTGCAGGGAAATGGGTGGCATTAGAGCAGATTATGCTAAGTGAAGTTAGCCAATCCCCCCCCAAAAAAACCAATTGCCAAATGTCTTCTCTGATATAAGGGGGGTGACTCA